CACCGCCTTTTGCTTCTCAAACGCCCAATGAGATTCATTGTGATTCATTATTTTCTAGCCGTCCTTCCCCTTGAAATTGTGCAAACTACAAACACTGTTTTCTGATACTGTAAAATATCGCCACACAACCGCGGCCATCTTCTTTGTTTCTTCTACTGAGGAAAGTGCGTGGACGCCCTCCTCCGGCTATTTCTTCGCACACGCCTACCATCGACCAATGTGATTTTGTATTTGCTGTTGCCCGATGATAGTTAATAAGGCAAACGTCGTTGCATCTCTATGATATTCTCCAAAGGCATTACTTGAGATTTGTATTGCTCAAAAGTATCTAAAATCTTGTATCTTGTAACTGACCATTCAGAATCTAAACAACAAAACAAAGAATTTAAATAGTATTCATTAATAAATACAGACTTATATGGAAACAAGAAGGTGAAGTTACAGATCAGACCAGTGGAAATGCAACCCGTTTCAATTTTGAAGTAACTCTTTTATATTCTATTTCCATTTCTTGCTGTTAAACATGGTTACCTATTATTGATGTCAATGTTGTAAAATTTTCAGCATAATGGCTTATATCTACATACATGCATCCATTTTCGTTATTTAATAGCGCCAAGATGTATACATTTCAAACCAAACTGTTTGCCTCTCTCTTGCAGCAAACACATAGCACCTGCAAGCTACGGACGCACATAAAAATGTACAAAAAGGCATACATTTCAGCAGAGAGGCACCGCAGTAAAAGCCAACCCCAGACTCCCAATCCAACCCGTCCTTTGAGTTTTGTAAAGGGAGAAACAGAAGTCTTTGTGCAATCGGACAGAATGAATCCATGCCGTTGAAGAGCGCCCGCGGACCCGGAGGAGTGAGGCCAGGTGAGCACTCTCCGCTAAGGACCATCACGGCACAGGGCTCCGGCTACTGCGGCTAATTAAGCGCCTATTACTATGCAGATCTATGCGCGGCCGAGAGCACTGCAGAGGCAATAAACGGCCTGATGAACGAGTGTGAGGGGTGAGAGAGGGGTGAGGGAGGGGGGGAGGAGAGAGGGGGACATAGGAAGATGAAAGAGAACACGAGAAGAACAAGTGCACTCCAGTCTGGCTTTGTTCGTGCTCGTGTAATGTTACTGACATGGGCATGAAAGGGCCTCATCAGACGGCCCATTGTGTTGTTGTTCGTGTAATTTAGTTGTAGGACGCAAGGCTGAAGTATTGATTTTCAGATGGTGAAATTAAAAATAAGTGTGTTTGAAGTTGCAATAGATGGCGTAACTGTGACCCGGTGCACAGACAGAGTAAAAGACATTTCACTCAGGGCTAATATGGAAGGGTTTACATCTGAGAAATTTAAAAAAACTAAATGAAGATGAAGGCGGGGTATCTAATGTTTCCCTCCTTAAAGTAGCAGTATTTAAGATTTTCATGTCAAGTCATCTTTAAATTGCCCTAATCAGTCAAAAGGCCTTAAAAAACCATGCTCTTTTCGAAAACTTATTTAACTGATAACAGTAGTTGAGAGATATTTGGAGTTTCAAAATTAGTTTGACAGCCTCTAAATCTTGTTATTGTTTTCATTTCGATGTCCCGCCCTCCATCGTGTTACCAATCAGAAAAACCGTGATCTTGGTTGTTGATCACGGCGTCGAGCTAATCTCACTGGTAAAGAACCATGTGGCCGCAGAACAATCTAAGGTATTGTTTCTATTCTCAAATCATTAACGACAAAACAAGGAATAAAACGAGGATTTCTATCTTTGTGAAAAAGGTGTTGGTTATAGATTTGTTGTTGACAAAGCTCTTGTCTATTCAGTTCTTATGGTCCCAGCTGGATTCGTCTGCATATCTGGCAACCTGAGTCAGGGAGAGTGGAAGAGATTACAGTACCACTTTCGGCCACATTTTAACATACTGTACTGCTCCTTTAAATAATACTTTTTTGTGTCAACCAGAGAGAGTCCAGAATCAACAGTGGTTCTTTGTATTTCAGAAACAGAATCAGAAATCTTTTTATTGCCATTGTAAGAAACAGGAAGTCAGAAACTAGGAAATTGCTTTGGTTCTCGGTGCAAACAAGTTAGAAGAATACAAAAATAGAATAAGGCAATAAGAAAATCTAACCATATAGCGCTTTGTGATTCTGGTCTGTGAAAGGAACCAAATGAATAAAGATTACATGCTAGCCCACTTACTTATATACAATCTACTTTATTGATCCCCTGTAGGAGAAATTCAGGAATACATATCATTTTAACAATTACTATCACTACTATAACAAGTGGTATAGGTAGACTTACAATTCTAAAAAATGTCACCTTTCTGTCTAAAAAAGCTGATCTAAATATGTGACAGAGGCCAAAAATGCATACACAAAAATCTAGAGAACTGTTTTGAGGGCTAGGAACTAGTTTTAAGGGTTGTTATACAGAGAAAACACACAACCAAGAGTTCCAACTTCAGGACATTTTTGGATATTTATTCTAAAACCATTCGGCTCTACACACTGTGATGAATTCTCTATCACAATGCACTCAGCGTAGCATTAGCTCCTGTTATGTCCTGATAAACAGTGGTGCGGTGTGTGCCAGGTGGACAGAGGGGAACAGTGGGTCCTATACGGCGGCACCAGCCAACACTCATTTACCCAGCGCATGTATTTATTTCCACTTAACCTTTATTTAACACGGCGGCTCAATTAGAGGCACATTCTTCATTCATTATCTGCCTTGTCTCCAACATGATCTATTCTGTTTACCGCAAAAGTCAGGTAGTAAACTCGCCGGTGCTACATCCATGGCATTTTGGAAGCCGGCCATCATGCAGACGGCCTCGTTTCAAAGTGCGTTATGTAGATTTAGAGCAGATGTGGCTCCTGCTGGGTTTTTTGACAATGCATTGTTCACGTCTCTTGGAAGATAATTCAGTGGAATGTTTTATTTTAACAGTTGGGTCGTTCGAGGCTGGTTTTGGACACGGAAGGCATCTGGTTGCTGTTATGTGTACAAAGGGTTCCAAGATAAAATAAGTGTTGCATAATGGGTATTATTAGGGACTTATAGAAATGTTATAGTGAAACAATCTGAATGAACATTATAGAGCAGGGATGTCAAAGTCAAAAACATCAGAGGCCATAAAACAAACTTGAGGGCTGAACAAGTTCAATGTTTATAAAACATATACAGTGCCTCGCGAAAGTATTCGGCCCCCTTGAACCTTTCAACATTTCGCCACATTTCAGGCTTCAAACATAAAGATATAAAATTTAAAATTTTGTCATGAATCAACAACAAGTCGGACACAATCGTGAAGTAGAACGAAATTTATTGGATAATTTAAACTTTTTCAACAAATAAAAAACTGAAAAGTGGGGCGTTCAATATTATTCGGCCCCTTTACTTTCAGTGCAGCAAACTCACTCCAGAAGTTCAGTGAGGATCTTTGAATGATCCAATGTTGTCCTAAATGACTGATGATGATAAATAGAATGCACCTGTGTGTAATCAAGTCTCCGTATAAATGCACCTGCTCTTTGATAGTCTCAGGGTTCTGTTTAAAGCACAGAAAGAACCATGAAGACAAAGGAACACACCAGGCAGGTCCGAGATACTGTTGTGGAGAAGTTTAAAGTCGGATTTGGATACAAAAAAGATCTCCCAAGCTTTAAACATCTCAAGGAGCACTGTGCAAGCAATTATATTGAAATGGAAGGAGTATCAGACCACTGCAAATCTTCCAAGACCCGGCCGTCCCTCCAAACTTTCATCTCAAACAAGGAGAAGACTGATCAGAGATGCAGCCAAGAGGCCCATGATCACTCTGGATGAACTGCATGTTGAAAGGTTCAAGGGGGCCGAATACTTTCGCAAGGCACTGTATGCACTGTATGACTGTTCCCAATATCAGACTAGTTTACACCAATATATCATGTTTTTTCTCCCAGGGTTCGCCTAAAGAAGCTTTCTGCTTTGATCGTCCTGGGAAAGTAGATCTCTGGGTGACAAAGGTTGGCGACACCTGGTTTAGAAGTTGAATCAAGTAAGAAAAACTAAGGACCCGTTTATACGGAGACAATGCAGCAGTAAAACGCCATGGTTGGATGTCGGTTGCTACCCCCTCCATGATCGTACATTTGGACATGCACAGTAGCCGAGAACAAACGTGAACAACAATGGCAACGGGTGCACAAACTAGCTACGTGTGCTTCGAGCGCTACACGGAGGAGGATACTACTCCTTAGTTCGTCCAAACGAAACCACGCAAAGCTCTAGTTTCAGTTTCCATTTTCGGGGGGGGGGGGGCGCTTGCGTGTGTCGTGTTGTAAAGTTCCTCTGCCCACTACTGGCCGGGCGCTAGAACTACATTGTTTTTGATCCTTGTATGAACGCTGCCAAATTTGCATAAGGAGCCTGGTCGTAATTTTTAATAGCTTGGCAACGTCTGCGCAGCGCCTCCGTATTAACGCGGCCTAAGGTAAATAACAGGAGTCTCAACACTGACCTGCTGACAGATTGGCAGATACACATACTGTAATCTAATCAACATTCACCCTGTAAAACAAGCACAGCGGTCTTGGATTATAAGAGTGGATTCATATTAGCATTAGTTAGATCAGGGATAATTCATTTCTCCAGAAACAAGACTGATGTGTTTGAGTCTCCCAGGCTTGGCCGCTCTTCCACGTCCTGCATGCTTAGCAATCGATTTAGTATTACACTCACCAGTAGGCCCCTCATTGCTCCCGATTTAATTAACTAATTGATTCGTAAAAAAGCTTAAATACATTGAGTAATGAATTAGCAGAGGTCACGTGAATGTTCCCTGCATTTTCCCCATTATGTGCAAGCCAATATTTCAGCACCACTGCCCCCGGGTATGGGCCCTGGTCCGCGCGATATCGATCGCTCCTTTCCACACGGCACCCTCGGATATCACCAGGCGGTGTTTAACACGTCTTAACCCCAATACATTCATATCCACGGACGCTAATTGTAGACTTACGATTGGTGAACGCTGCAGTTGTAGAAGACAAAGTCCACGCTGGCGAACTTCTTCCCCGTTTCTTTGGACTTCAGGTAGAGCTTTATGATGCGCTGGTCACCTGAAATGAAAGAATAAATCGTTCAGTAATTATGCATTTACAAATATCTTCATTGTTAATTACTTTGGTTGTAAGTCAAAAGCAGAACAGATAATTACGCATACAGAAAAACAAGGCTTATTTTGCGTAACCCCATCAACAAAATCTAGCTGCAAAAGATGTAAATTACAATAAATGTCACATCAATAGTTTTTGCAGGTATGATGAGAAACTGCAGGGACATTGGGCGGCACGGTGGCTGAGTGGATAGCACTCTGGCCTCTCAGCAAGAAGGTCCTGGGTTCGAATCCCGGTCGGACCAGGGCCTTTCTGAGTGGAGTTTGCATGTTCTCCCCGTGTCTGCGTAGGTTTCCTCCGGGTACTCCGGTTTCCCCTACCACTAAAAATATGTCCAATAGTTCTAGCATGCGCCTCCTGTACTGGCGACCCCGCTCCCATCTCTGTGTGGAGTGAGAGACAAATGCCCAAAATTAACAATTGTAAACCGCTTTGAGACTCAGATCTGCAGTGAAAAGGCGGTATATAAATAAAAACTTACTTACTTACTTACTTACATTACCAGTGTGTGCACAATTATAATAATAATAATAATAGGCAAGGCAAGTTTATTTATGTAGCACAATTCATACACAAGGCAATTCAAAGTGCTGAACAAAATAAGAAAGCATTAAAATTATAAATAATCACAGAACATTAAAAAGAAAGCTAAAAATATAAAATCCCTCAGTTGTATGCACAGCTAAACAGAACTGGTTTTAAACATTGTCAGAGAGGCCTGTCTCACATCTTCAGGAAGACTGTTCCAGATTTTAGCAGCATGAATCTGAAAAGCAGCCTCCCCATGTTTAGTCCTGACTCTGGGCACTAACAGGAGTCCAGTCCCTGTGCTCCTCAGAGTCCGGGCTGGTTCATATGGGACTAACATGTCACTAATATATTTTGGTGCGAGGCCATGGAGAGACTTGTAACAAGCAGAGCTGTTTAAAGTCTATTCTCTGAGCCACAGGAAGCCAGTGCAGAGACCTGAGAACTGGACTAATATGGTCGTACTTCCTGGTTCTAGTCAGGACTCGAGCTGCTGCATAATAATAATGATAATAATAATAATTCAAGGTCATGCTGGTTCTTTATTGAAATGATTATAACATATGAATCATTCAGTCCTGGCTTCAGTAAGTGTGCCCTCTGTTGGCAGGAATAAGGTTTTGTGGTATGGCAAGCATTATATAAAAAGTGATTTCAAAAAGCCAAAATAAAACATGTTAAAAGGTGCAGCCGAGGGCAAGGTTCGCTTATGTAAGTTTTATGACTAATATGAAGTTCTAATTAACACCCAAACCTCCAAATTATGACGTCAACCAACTCATTCATTATTACATGTTGGTGTAATTCAATAATGTCACTTTTTCTGTACTCGCTGATGACTTTTTGCGAGTGTATTCCAATGGGGTTTTACTGCAAATGGCAAATAAACTGAATCTGTATCTGGTGTGTTTTGGGGTCTTGCAATTGAGTTGAGTGTTGGGCTCAACATTAGCGTACATTATTTATTATAAACAGCAAAACAAAACGCATCACAAGTAAAGTAGAAAAGCACTCGTAGAGCACAACCCTTTGCCAGGAGTTGCCGTTCCATTCCTCAAAAAAATTCTACATCCAGGCCGTGATTCAGATCATATTAACCACAGTAATTTCCACATAATTTATTGATTTATTTGACCGCACGCTGTGGACTTGGATCAATAATGAGGTTTCCAATTAACACAATTATCTACATTTGATAAAAGCATACAGTATTGTGCTTGCTTTCTTCCATACTTGGCCAAAAGATGCTGTTATGAAGCAGAAATGAAGCCGAACTCATCAAAGTTCATGCAAATCTTTTCTCGATTACAAATATTCAAAAGAGCAGCCGCTGCGTGGATGTTCGGAGCCTGATTTGAACATCGAGGCTGAAATTTTGTTTGTGTATGGCACTGCCTTTAGAATCAATACCAAACTGTGGTTTTCGAATCGCTGAACTGTAGTTGCGTACTCAGACATTTACACAGTCCACAGGATAAGACGATTTGAGCATAACTTATCTGCTTTCAAACAAAACTGATGATCCACAAAACTGTCCAGAATGCAGACATCAAAAACAGACTTTAACTTTGAATCATCGCACAAGAGCGGTACTTGATAACTGTGAGGAGTTAGATTGTGTTTTCTTATCCATGCATTTGTCTCCATTAGGTTGGACTACTGTAATGGCTGCTCTCAGGTCTCTCCAAACAGGCTTTAAACAGCTGCAGTATATTCAAAATACTCATCTAATTTTGTGACTAGAACCAGGAAGTATGACCACATTAGTCCAGTCCTCAGGTCTCTGCACTGGCTTCCTGTGGCTCAGAGAATAGACTTTGTTCTCTCTCCATGGCCTCGCACAAAGGACACAAGTGACATGTTGGTGCCATATGAAGCAAGGAGGACTCTGAGACGCACAGGGAATGGCCTCCTGCTGGTCCCAGAGTCAGATTCCATCCATCTTCTTCTTCCCCTTAATCCATTTCAATTTGGAGAGACGAGAAAACAGGAAGTTTTGAGTATTTTATTGAAAGGAGGTTTGGCGCCCTAGGTCCAGGTGCGGCCTTCAGATCGGAAAGGCTCCTGCGATGGAGCGCGCACAATCCCCCGGGACCTAGGCACTGGTGGCGGCATTTGGCAGCGGGAAGCAGATCGAAGGCAGATTGGAGGCAGGGTGAAGAGGAGGAGGAGGGGAGGCGGTGGTTGCAAGGCTTCAGAGGCCGAGAGTGGGAGTTTCTCCGTTTTTATGCGGCTGGCGAGTCGGTACAGATGATTGGAAGGGGGCGTCTGCTGAGCGATAGGCTGGGGATGACAGCCGGCCTGGAGGGGGTAATTTTGGTTAACGTCTACCAAATTGAATTTTCGCTGGCTGCATTTCAATTTGGAGAGACGAGAAAACAGGAAGTTTTGAGTATTTTATTGAAAGGAGGTTTGGCGCCCTAGGCCCCGGTGCGGCCTTCAGATCGGAAAGGCTCCTGCGATGGAGCGCGCACAATCCCCAAAAAGGCTGCGTGTTGATGGAGTTTTCGAAGCCTGGTTTGGAGGGGACAGACGTCGTGACTACTCTATTCTGTGACCGCTATCGCTATGCTGTGACTGCTATCGCTATATGCTGTGACCGCTATCGCTATGCTGTGACTGCTATCGCTATATGCTGTGACCGCTATCGCTATATGCTGTGACCGCTATCGCTATATGCTGTGACCGCTATCGCAATGCTGCTAACCATTTTTTGCTATATGCTGTGACCGCTAACCATTTTTTGCTATGCTGTGACCGCTAACCATTTTTTGCTATGCTGTGACCGCTAACCATTTTTTGCTATGCTGTGACCGCTAACCATTTTTTGCTATGCTGTGACCGCTATCGCTATATGCTGTGACCGCTATCGCTATATGCTGTGACCGCTATCGCTATATGCTGTGACCGCTATCTACTGTGATCAATACTTGCGGATACTCGGCTGCTGCCGCCACCAGGAAGTTTTGTGAGTGATTTATGGAGATGCCAAGAGGCGCTGGGCTGTCAGAATGGTCGAAGTGTCAGGCCTGATGTATGAGGAGAGGGCCGATGATGACCAGCGGCCCAGCTGCTGGAGGGCAGAATGGGGGAGTCCTAGGGACGCGGCGCGCGTGGCGGCGCCTATCCGGAAGGAGTGAGCTGTGTAGAGATGGGGAGACAGGTTACAAGCAGCAGTACGGACTTTAGTTGGGCCCTGAACCAGTTAGATGTCATTGGGAGGTGATCGGGGGTGAGAAATAACGGTCCGTTGAGATCTCCTTTCCGAGAGCGGAGGCGAGTGTAATGCATCATGGATCTGTAGGGACAGGGAGAAGTGTCAGACCGAGCTATGACTATATTGCAAGCGCCTTTGCGTTTGGAATGCTTGAGGTGGAGGTTGAAGTAGTCAGGATAATATGACAGGTCAGAGAAGGCAATGTCTCGGGATGCATTAAAGGTGGCGTGAGAGTTTGTGAATTCGCTTATGCGTAAGAAGCCCATTTTCATGTAGGATGCAGCGGAGGAGAGAAGGTGAAGAGACGGAGGGACTAGACCAGGGCGAGGGATTCCGTGCAGGGGATCTGGCATGGCGATGGATTGGCAGAAGGGCAAAGGCGTCAGAACTCCTGGAATTTAAAGCGAGAGAGAGAGTCAGCAAGACAGTTAGGTGACGAGGGACGTGACGAGCAGTGATGATAAATTGTTCGAGACTGAGAGCCATGTGATGCATCTAAGGAGGATGTGATTTGGGGAGAGGATGAACGACCTCTGTTAATTATTTCAATGACGTCGAGGTTGTCGCACGTCACGGAAATCCTTTTCCTATGCCACGTATGGTTCCGCAGCACGCAGGCTACGGTCACGGGATATATCTCGTGGAGGAGATGCTTCGAGGGAAAGAGTCGGGCCGGGGCCCGGCGAACCCCTGGTCCTGGAAAAACCCCAAAACCCACGGACGGGACTGCGTCCGTGAAGAACCGCGGGGCATCTGAGACAGGATGATGTCACTGTAAAAAAAAAGAGATACACCATCCCAGCGGCTCTGCAGACGGGACCGGAACGCCAGGTCGGAGCGGCGCCCCGCGTCCGGGCAGACAGCGTCATTGAGGGAGGAGACGGAGCAGGCGAGGGAGAGGAGTCTGGAATTAAAAGAACAACCTTGGGGAATGATACGGACGGCATAATGAAGATGCCCGAGGAGGGAGAGCAAGGACGCCTCGAAGTGACGGGAAGGCCAAGGCAGACCGGGAGAAAGCGCGGATGCGTTCGAGCTTGTCCAGCGGGAGAGAGGCCTCCATGCGCGTGTGTCGAGGCGGATGCCGAGAAACTCCAGAGCGTTGGCGGGGCCTGTGGGCTTTCCGGAGTGGAGGAATCCGAGGGCAGAGAAGGCGGGCCTGAGCTTGCGGAGAGAGCCCCCGGAGCAGTCTGAGGGTGGGTTGACTACGAGGGAATCATCGGCGAGATGCAGACAGAGGGGAGCCGCGCGTAATTAAGCAGAATCCGACACGGCGCCTCCGAGAGATTATTGAACGAGAGGGACTACTCCGGCAGTCAAAGGTGAGGCGCACTGCGAAGAAGAACTCCGACGCCACTTGACCCCCGAACAGCGCCAGTGGTCGGGGTGGATGGCAGCAGCTTGAACGCGTCCGGGATGACGGCCTTGGAGAGCCAGGAGCCGGGGCCGAAGGTCTTTATCAGCCTGATCGCGTGGTCCACGGTAGCGGACTGCAGGGAGAAGGCGCTGGAGGGAAGGGGTTGTTGATGCTCCGGCGGGCCCGGAGCGGGGATAGGAGAGGACAAGTATGAGACGCTTCTTCCTGGAGTGCTTGCGGGTGGCGATGTCCATCGGGTTAGAGCGAGACGGAGAGAAGGGCCAATGACCTAGCCCGCGGACACCTCCCGCGCCCGAGCCGCGTGCCGACTTGGGGCTCATGAAGAGCCGGGAAGAGGTTGCGGGACACGAGACGCCGAGGGACCTAAACAGAGCTTGCAGTCTAATGTGAGGGATTTAATAGAGCTTGCAGTCCAAGTGAGGTATTAAAACTGAGCCCGCAGTCCAAGTGAGGCGTTTAACGGAGAGCCTGCAGTCCGGTGTGAGGGAGTTAACAGGTTTTACGGTCCAAGTGAGGGATTAACTGAGCCCGCAGTCCAAGTGAGGAGTTTAAACTGAAGCTTACGGTCCAGTGCGAGGGATCCAACAGAGCCCGCAGTTTTTTTTTATTTTTTATTTTTTTTTATTATTTATTTACTTATTTATTTACTTATTTATTTATTTATATTTATTTATATTTATTTACATTTATATTTATTTACATTTATAATTATTTATATTTATTTATATTTATATTTATTTACATTTATATTTATTTATATGTATTTATATTTATATTTATTTACATTTACATTTATTTATATTTATTTATAGTTATTCATATTTATTTATATTTATTTATATTTATTTATATTTATTTATTTATTTTATATATATAAGCGTTCCAGATATAAGCAGTACCATATATGCAGTTCCAATATGAGCAGTACCATATATAAGCAGTTCCGTATATAAGCCGTTCCATATAAAAGCAGTTCCATGTATAGCAGTTCCATATATAGCAGTTCCATATAGAAGCAGTTCCATATAGAAGCGGTTCCATATAGAAGCAGTTCCGCATGAACAGTTCCAGGTACGGTATAACAGTTCCACATATATACAGTTCCAGATGTAACAGTTCCGTGAGGGATTAAATTCTCCAGGAAAAGAAATCATTTCTTTTCTCATTGTTTTTCCTTATTGCTGGCTCCAGACTGCCCAGTGTTCCATTGTACCAGTTTCCGTGGAGACCCGTTACCATAGAGACCTGTTACCATGGATGCCGGTTACCATGGATACCGATTACCTTGTCATAACAGCTTTGTGATGTCATCAGTTAGAATCCACATAATTATATTGTGGTGGAGGCTAGGTCAGTCCAGGAAGTCCACTTTTGCCAAAACCCACATCTGAAGCCGCCGCCCACAGCGTCACATCAGATTAGAATCCACGTTTATAATTCACAAGGAAGAACGAAGAAAACGAACGAAGAAAGAGGCTTTGACCCGACGCCACCGCCCAGAATGGAAGACTTAAGGTTTCATAGCAGAACGGATGAGCTAATGCAACCGATCAGAGAAGTAGAGTTCATGCAATCATTCCGACTGATGAGTAAGCGTCCCAGCTCACCCCTGGACAACGCCATACCCACCATCAACGTGGACCAGATCCAACCTCTGATCAACTTCTGGAGGACTGTGCAGACCGCAGGCTTCAGCGAGCACGAGGTTCGCACACACATGTCACAGCTGTTCATGGATATTATCATGAACTTCTCTGATCAAATCCTCAGTGGTGTGGGGAAAATCATCGCCCGGGAACAGCTTTCGTCAAGTGATGCTTTGCTCTCGGAAGATGCCGTGAAAGACGCCCTGAGCGCTGTCCTCCGAACCAGCTTCAAGACCAGTTCTGCTGATGAGTATTATGCACTTGAGAAGGCCCATGAGCAGATAAGTGCTGAGGTGACTGACACTGTCAACTCGGTTCTGAGTCGCGTGGGATCTCCTGGAAGCAAACTGACAGTAGACAAAGAACAAGGCTACACCCCATCCAGATACAAGCTCCTCAGCATCGTCTCCAATGCCCAGAAGTTCATGCAATGCTGTTGGCCATGCAGGACAAAGATCTCAGGTGAGGAGAAGCCGGTGGACAAAGAGCTACAAGAGAGGGCCAAACGTCTCAAAGTCAGAAATGAACTCAGACGGAACGGGCTGGGAGTGGCAGAATCTGTGGAGACTGCAAACCTGTCTCAGAACGGTGCCTCTGGGATTTCGAGTTTTGTTCCAGAGATCAAACCCAGATCCGACTCTGCAACCAGTGAGACACAAGAAACACAAGTGGAGAGTCTCCCTACAGAAACTGAGCAGGAGACAACCAAACAGACCACTCACAGCTCTAGTGGTACATTTACTTCTGAGATTATTTGGCCAAATCTTCCAGGAGCTTGTTCAATGCCTCTGAGTGAAGAGGTTGCACCTTTAGTCCAGAAAACTGTACCTAAGGGGTTGTGTCAGATGGAGGAGCGAGTCCCAGAGCAGACCCAGAGCAAGCCCCTTTCCCTTCGCCCTTGCCTTGTGCAATCAAAGGAAGAACATACGCAATCCTCCCCTAAAAAGAGCTATGTTTCTCCTTCAGAGTCTTTTGGTGACAAGGAACATATTACCAACGAGATCTTGTCTGAAAACAAGCAGCAAAAAGCAATGAAGGCTGCTGCACAACAAGAATTCTCCAGGAAAAGAAATCATTTCTTTTCTCATTGTTTTTCCTTATTGCTGGCTCCAGACTGCCCAGTGTTCCATTGTACCAGTTTCCGTGGAGACCCGTTACCATAGAGACCTGTTACCATGGATGCCGGTTACCATGGATACCGATTACCTTGTCATAACAGCTTTGTGATGTCATCAGTTAGAATCCACATAATTATATTGTGGTGGAGGCTAGGTCAGTCCAGGAAGTCCACTTTTGCCAAAACCCACATCTGAAGCCGCCGCCCACAGCGTCACAGCAGATTAGAATCCACGTTTATAATTCACAAGGAAGAACGAAGAAAACGAACGAAGAAAGAGGCTTTGACCCGACGCCACCGCCCAGAATGGAAGACTTAAGGTTTCATAGCAGAACGGATGAGCTAATGCAACCCATCAGAGAAGTAGAGTTCATGCAATCATTCCGACTGATGAGTAAGCGTCCCAGCTCACCCCTGGACAACGCCATACCCACCATCAACGTGGACCAGATCCAACCTCTGATCAACTTCTGGAGGACTGTGCAGACCGCAGGCTTCAGCGAGCACGAGGTTCGCACACACATGTCACAGCTGTTCATGGATATTATCATGAACTTCTCTGATCAAATCCTCAGTGGTGTGGGGAAAATCATCGCCCGGGAACAGCTTTCGTCAAGTGATGCTTTGCTCTCGGAAGATGCCGTGAAAGACGCCCTGAGCGCTGTCCTTCGAACCAGCTTCAAGACCAGTTCTGCTGATGAGTATTATGCACTTGAGAAGGCCCATGAGCAGATAAGTGCTGAGGTGACTGACACTGTCAACTCGGTTCTGAGTCGCGTGGGATCTCCTGGAAGCAAACTGACAGTAGACAAAGAACAAGGCTACACCCCATCCAGATACAAGCTCCTCAGCATCGTCTCCAATGCCCAGAAGTTCATGCAATGCTGTTGGCCATGCAGGACAAAGATCTCAGGTGAGGAGAAGCCGGTGGACAAAGAGCTACAAGAGAGGGCCAAACGTCTCAAAGTCAGAAATGAACTCAGACGGAACGGGCTGGGAGTGGCCGAATCTGTGGAGACTGCAAACCTGTCTCAGAACGGTGCCTCTGGGATTTCGAGTTTTGTTCCAGAGATCAAACCCAGATCCGACTCTGCAACCAGTGAGACACAAGAAACACAAGTGGAGAGTCTCCCTACAGAAACTGAGCAGGAGACAACCAAACAGACCACTCACAGCTCTAGTGGTACATTTACTTCTGAGATTATTTGGCCAAATCTTCCAGGAGCTTGTTCAATGCCTCTGAGTGAAGAGGTTGCACCTTTAGTCCAGAAAACTGTACCTAAGGGGTTGTGTCAGATGGAGGAGCGAGTCCCAGAGCAGACCCAGAGCAAGCCCCTTTCCCTTCGCCCTTGCCTTGTGCAATCAAAGGAAGAACATACGCAATCCTCCCCTAAAAAGAGCTATGTTTCTCCTTCAGAGTCTTTTGGTGACAAGGAACATATTACCAACGAGATCTTGTCTGAAAACAAGCAGCAAAAAGCAATGAAGGCTGCTGCACAACAAGAAAAAAGGAAGAGAGTGACTCAAAGCTCTGTAAACACCTGGTGCTCATGTCAAGCGTACTTGGAGGTGAGCAGTCAGAGTTCATCTGAGGAGGATTCCAATGTAGCCACTCAATCTCTACTCCCTCCAGTTTCAAGAACAGCTTCTCAGGCCAGCATTGCATCTGCATTTGAGTCATTTATTTATTTTCATTTACAGATGAAAGAGCTCCTGGATGAAGCAGCAGTAACAGTTGCCCGATCTTCCAGCCTGAACAAAGATGAGGCTGAGGTTCTTGTAAGCAGACTGAGTGATAAGAGTGAAGCGGATGCAGTGTCTATCTACTCCATGATGTTGGACGAGATGGATGAAATCCGATACAGAAACTCTCTGGACTCTGATGAGGTCAGTAAAACCTGCTGCTATTTCAGAGTAGTTCATAGGGTTGAATCTTTTCTGGCCCTGTGTCATGCAAAACTCTCTTTCAGAAAATTACTGATAAAATTATCACGTAAGCGTAAAGTAAGCACTGATATAGAAACAATGGAGGAAGAGGCAGCCTGTCATTTGGAGAAGTTGATGTCCGTGCCTGATGACATCCAAGAGGCCAGTTTCTATGAGAAATTGTCCCAGGACATCTCCAATGGACAACACAAGGATGTGAATGAGGCACTTCAACAGGTCATTGTGCAGAATATGAGCCCCAGAAACTCTATTGGAGCCTGGAAATTTGGCAGAAAGGTCACAAGATCAGTGCTCGAATTCCTGAAGTCCGTAAAGGAGTGGGTTGATAAACAGAGGGATCAGGAACCAAAGACGGGTGAAGTCAGAAATACTTATCAAAAACTGCAAAATGCCGTCCTCTGTATGTCTATGGACCCCCAGACCCACTATACAGGCACACGCTATACCCCTCCCCAACCAACAACTGCAGCAGATGTTCATTTCGAGTGGGACACATATCACATCAGATTCTTGGCTTATGAAGTAACAAGGCACGCCCTCCAGACCAAAAGTCTGACCAATGTGGCCCCATTTGTAAAGTTGTGGCAGCGGCTGGAGGAAAATATGACACAATGGAACGTGAAGGTGAGGCCTGATGCTGAGAACATCCTGGATGTGGCGGAGGATGTGTACAAAGACCTGTGCTCGGGGTCCAAAAAACACTGGGTTTCATTCAACTGCCTCATCGATGAGAACTACATCGACACCATCATAGACACAATCCGCTATAATCTGGAGATACCCCAGAAGAAGAGCCGCATCAGCTCCTTCTTCCAATCAGTAAGACGTTTTTTTTGCAGAAGCATGTCTTTTAGACTGTATTAAAGGCGCTATACCCGTTTCTGCAATGTTTGAATGTTTAGCACCGCCCCCCAACTCGCTCACAGGCTTCTCATTTCCCCTACGCTCTCATCCCACGGAGCTACCTAGCTTTGGGGCGTGCAATATTATTCGGCCCCCTTGCGCTAATACTTTGTAGCGCCACCTTTTGCTGCAATTACAGCTGCAAGTCGCTTGGGGTATGTCTCTATCGTTTTGCACATCGAGAGACTGGAATTCTTGCCCATTCTTCCTTCCAAAACAGCTCGAGCTCAGTGAGGTTGGATGGAGAGCGTTTGTGAACAGCACTCTTCAGCTCTTTCCACAGATTCTCAATTGGATTCAGGTCTGGACTTTGACTTGGCCATTCTGACACCTGGATACGTATATTTGTGAACCATTCCATTGTAGATTTGGCTTCCAGAATGGTCCTGTATTTGGCTCCATCCATCTTCCCATCAATTTTAGCCATCTTCCCTGTCCCTGCTGAAGAAAAGCAGGCCCAAACCATGATGCTGCCACCACCATGTTTGACAGTGGGGATGGTGTGTTCAGGGTGATGAGCTGTGTTGCTTTTACGCCAAACCTATGTTTTGCATTGTGGCCAAAAAGTTCGATTTTGGTTTCATCTGACCAGAGCACCTTCTTCCACATGTTTGGTGTGTCTCCCAGGTGGCTTGTGGTAAACCAAAACGAGACTTTTATGGATATCTTTGTTGTTGATTCATGACGTAAAAGCAACACAGCTCATCACCCTGAACACACCATCCCCACTGTCAAACATGGTGGTGGCAGCATCATGGTTTGGGCCTGCTTTTCTTCAGCAGGGACAGGGAAGATGGCTAAAATTGATGGGAAGATGGATGGAGCCAAATACAGGACCATTCTGGAAGAAAACCTGTTGGAGTCTGCAAAAGACCGGAGACTGGGACGGAGATTTATCTTCCAACAGGACAATGATCCAAAACATAAAGCCAAATCTACAATGGAATGGTTCACAAATGCAGCCTCGCGGAAATTCAATTTGGAAGACGTCAGCAAAGCCACCCCTTCCAGGCCGGCCTCGCAGCCCAGCCTATCGCACAGCAAACGCCCATTTCCAACCAACCTACGCCGGCCAGGCCAGCCGCTTAAAAGCGGAGAAACTCCCACTTTACGGCCTTCTCGAAGCCTTGCAAACCACCGCCTCCCCTCCTCCTCCTTTTCTCACCCTGCCTCAATCATGCCTCTTCCTGCTGCCCGAATGCCGCCACCAGTGCCTAGGTCCCGGGGGATTGTGCGCGCACTCTCGCAGGAGCCTCGCTGACTGAACGCCGCACCGGGGCCTAGGGCGCCAAACTACCTTCAATAAAATACTTCAAATGCATTTTGTCTCCTCGTCTCTCCAGATTGAAATACTGTTACTTGGGGGTGTCCTTGGGAGGAGCGGCCCTGTAACACGCAATTGATTATTCTTCTGCCCTGAGTCCTCTCACTGTGTGAGGGTCTTGCTCGGGCGGGGCTCCAATCACTCTTTGCTGGCCTGCTGGGAGTACATGTTCCTACGGCCTCCGCGTTGTGTCCCACTAGCGAAGTCCTAAGGGACGTAGCACCATGACGTAGAAATAATAGTTACCTAATGTAACTTAAGTTCTACGAATAGGTGCGTAGTCCCTTAGCTACGAGCCCATCAGGCCAGCCCGGCTTGGCAGAGTTCAAGAGGGGGCGCGGCCTTGTGCAGGGGCTTTTATAGAGGAGGGTCGCTAGTGATTGGAGCATATTTTATATATTTGATTTCTCTGGCGTGTGACCTGGGGGTCACGTGATATCCCACTAGCGAAGTCCTAAGGGACTACGCACCTATTCGTAGAACTTAAGTTACATTAGGTAACTATTAATTCACACAAAAGGAAACGTAAAGTCAAACAATACAGTTATTCTTTGGCAACACACATTTGTTTAGATGAAAGCTGATACAAAATAAGTACAATATGTAACATACAGAGTTTGTACTATGTTTGTCTGAACCCCAGGAGGTGGATTGCATCCGTAATAAGTGCTCCAGGAGCTGCATATGTCACAAGCAGAAGATTCTGGCAACGAAAGTGTGATTGTAACAACTTGTGTTGTATATATTGTAAGTATTGTGTCTCTTTGTCGTTAAACTGGGATCTTGCAGTCCAATGTGAGGAATAACGGAGCTTGCAGTCAGACTGAAGGATTTAACGGAGCTTGGTTAAAGAGAGCCTGCAGACCAATGCGAGGGCTTTAAACTGCAGCTTGCACGGGGCCAACTGAGCCTGCAGTACAATGCGAGGGGAATAAACCGTCCGCGGATCTCATACTTACCCACGACGCCAGAAGACAAGGGACAACACAACGGGACCACGCCGTACCGGCACGAGGAGGCAGGGATGCGCACAGCTCCCGCCGCACCGGGCCAGACCGGCCGTATGCAGCAGCAGGCCGCGACGAGACGAGCAGCGGCGAACCCGCAGAAAGAGCCCGCAAAGGAGGAGAGCGGCAAAGACCCACGGACCACAGCACAAGACCCGCAGCAGGTGCAGCGACGCGGAGGAGGAGCAGACCACGCAGCAAGACAGAGGACAGCAGGGACCGCAGGAGTAAGCGTGAGTAGACAAAGCGATTCCTCCAGAACGATTCATGCAAGGCTTCAGAGGCCGAGAGTGGGAGTTTCTCCGTTTTTATGCGGCTGGCGAGTCGGTACAGATGATTGGAAGGGGGCGTCTGCTGAGCGATAGGCTGGGGATGCGAGCCGGCCTGGAGGGGGTAATTTTGGTTAACGTAGGGCTGGGCGATTTTGCCTAAAAAAAAAATCTCCGATTTTTAAAAGAGAAATTCAAGTTTCGATTCGATTTTCGATTTTTTTTTTCCCAATGCACTTAAAAATGACTGGAGACATCAGATATATTGTCAAAAGTGCAAATTTATTGCTGTGATTGTCCTCAAGAGTTAAAATGCAAGTAAATGAGGCTCTGTTATTCAACAATTTCAAGCTTTAACCCAGGTTTAAGCAAAGGTGCAACATCAACTTCACAGCAGCTTACATTTTCTGATTAAGAAATCAGATAACTACATATTTTGTAACGTATAACATTACAATAAAAAAATAAAATAAACTCTTCTCTTAGCCTCTCAGCATAATGTGAATATAAAAAAAAATAAACATGCCTGTGGCAGACAAATAGCTACTAACTAACTACTTATCAAAGGATAAACAAATGTAAACTTTTATCTTTAACAACAAAACATTAGATCTCTGAAATATTGTGCATGCTCATTCTAAGCATTTTTTGCAAGAAAGATGAGCCTGTCCACAACCACAGGTCCGTGGTGGCTGAGTAAAACGTCATCTCCCCCAGCTCACCGCGAATCTTTTCACGAGTTGTATTGTACAGGTGAGGCAGCGCTACATCGGCGAAATACTTGCGACTGGGGACAACGTACTGTACCTCGCATCTAATACTTTTAACAAGCCCCCCCTGTTAAAACCCCCCCGGGGGGTCGCGGGAACCCCTGGGGGGGTTGCATGATGATTTGTACACAAACAAAAAAAAAAGATTTTTTTTTTTTTGAGCAAATATAAAGCCCTTAAATATTTATTTAGCATTTGATTTGATTCAAAAGGACTACTTGTTAAATTGTGTTTGGAGACTATAATATATTTTAATAACGTTAGTAATTTTGTCCCAGTCATTGCAGCGTCAATCAAAATCATCACGTAACACAGCTCACATCATGCGCAGCGACAAAGCGTGTCCTGCTGTTGTTTGCTAAAACTAAAGGTGTTTGGAGGCTACAAATAAATAATACCTGCTTTAAAATGAAACGTGGTTAATATCCACAACAGAAAAACCCGGAGGGGGAGAAAAGTCACTTGTATCAGGGGTCAGGCTGGTGATGCGAAGAGAGGGAGAGAGGGCAGCGGGAGGGAGAGAGGGCAGCGGAGGGAGGGAGGACAGCGGTAGAACAGCGCGTTAAAGAGGCCCGGCTTTTCGGAGTCAAAGGTAAAAGAGGTCCGCACATTAAAAGCGGGTGGCCGGTCTATGCCTTTACTGACAGTAACTTTGGAAAGAGAAGCCGCGGGGATGAACCGCATAAAGTAACAGCAGAAAGCGGCCGCCCGCTTTTAATGTGCGGACCTCTTTACCGCTGACTCCGGAAAGCCGGCCCACTTTACCGCGGTAGGAGAACAGTGAGGGCGAGCCGCAAGAAATGCGCTCCACTTCTGCTGAGGAGGGTTAGCAGGGCATTTATGATGGGGGTCGCGGGCTGAAAACTTTGGGAACCCCTGCTCTACTACACGCTGCCATTCTTGTTTTGACTGTGTTTACGCGGCGGAGGGGGCTGGCTCATAACGCTCTACGGTAACCCACAAGGACGAAACGCAAAAAACTCAGAAAAAAAATTTGGTGAAAAAAAAACTCGAGTTTGCAAAATAAAAATCCTTTTAAGCTACAAAATCGATAAATCGATTAAATCGATTTTTTGCCCAGCCCTAGGTTAACGTCTACCAAATTGAATTTTCGCTGGCTGCATTTCTGGGTCGGGAGGTGGCTATCAGCTGCCACCCAATCCACAGACCACCAGCCCCTCACTGACCCTCCTGCAGATGGCTGCTCTAGTCTGAGCTAGAGAGTCAGATTCATGCTGCTAAAATCTGGAACAATCTTCCTGAGAATGTGAGACAGACTTCTTCTCTGACAATGTTTAAATCCAGTTCTGTTTAGCTGCTATCATTATTATACTGTGGTTATTAATGATTCTAATGCACTTCAAGTTGCTTTGTGTATGAATTGTGCCATACAAACTTGCCTTGCCTTTTGGTTTTAAAAACCTTATGCCGGGTTTAAAAAAAAAAATGTGGATATCAAAATTGCATGACAATGTCAATCTGAAAGAGATTCCGGCAAATAAAATCCTATATTTTATAAAAATAACGTGTTTTTCATGAATTTAAGCTGTCTATGCTCTAACCTGTGTGTGACGTCATAGCGGGTAACGCCCATGCATTGAAAACCATGGATCTATGCCACAGGACTGCCTTTTCTCTCTTCTCTCCACTGATGCCCAACACAATACTGCACTCTACAGGTGACAATTGCTCACTACACATAAATTGCCGTTTTGAGAATGAAAAAGTGTCTGAGATGGGATTTGAACCCCAATATCTGGATTGACAGTCCTTCGACACAACCACTGGACTATCTCAGTGATAACGAAGATTTACAATCTAGTAGTTATCTAACACTCGCTGTACACGAATACCAAATTGTAAACAACTTACAGCGTTGAAACGTACCCACTCTGACGTCACCAAGGGCTGTGAAGTTTTTTTGTCTCTAAGGGCGTTGCTATGGGGTTATTTCGATTTGGGGGGATCAGACAAAAAAAACAACAACTGATTTTGAAACCTTTAGTAGTTCTCTTCTAATATAAATTGGTATTAAAACTGTATTTCTAAATAAATCAAACCCGGCATAAGGTCTTTAAACAATCAATCAATCAATGGTATTCATAGAGCCCTTTACAACACTCAAGGCGACCAAAGTGTTTCACAATGAAACTACATAAATCCATTAAAACATGTATGCATTAAAGCAATAAAACAGTTTAAAAGCAATACGAAAAAACAGAAATAAACACAAATTGTACCTTGATCTCTTGTGATGGGAGCCACAAACTTGGTGGCTGGGGACAGGCAGAAGACACGTCCACCGTAGATACGTCCCTCTGTCTCCACAAAGTCCTCGAAAGAGCAGTTGACTCCGGCCGCCAGGCTCGGCACGTTCTGGGTTTGGAGGATCAGCTGCGGCACACACAATACAGAAACTCTCATTAATATAAACAAAAACAGTAGGAGCTAAAAAACAGAAAAAACACATGCCACGCAGCCTGAATAACTATTATTTATAAATCTAACTCATACTGCACAAGATTTCAACTCCAAACAAAAAAGACTAAGGATTGATATACAGATATTTGAATGCCTTACATGTATTCTCAATTTCCCCAAAGCTAAACTTCTCATGATTAGTCTACAAACAGAAATACAATACAAACATGTGTGAAGAATATAGATATTTACTCTACTGTATATGGTTATAGCGTTGTGTAGAATACTTTGATAATGTATTCCGTTCCAGAACACTGAATACATGAACTAAAATATATTTTGTAATCTGTTGCATCGGAAAAAGTACCTGTATGTACCAAATGCCTAGAAAACTTTTATTTATACTTATATTTATATACGTATTTGTCTGAGACCGGTGATTTCTGTTCAACTTCCCTCTTTTCGACTGGAGATTACAAAACAACAAAACTAGTTAGAAACAAACTTATTTTTGCTGATGAAAGTAGACAATCCAGTCTTTCAGAATCTGGTTTCAAATTTCACATAGTCATAACACACAATATTCTGTGGGTCTTGAAAGTCGGTAAAATCATCAAAAAAGGCTGGCAGTCCATGAGTTATTGTTTTTCTTTAACAAAACTAGATATATTTCTAAATAGTTATTTTTACATATTACTTTTGAATCAGTCTCAAAACCCATCTGTTCAAGCAAGCTTTTGTGTAAACCCCCTTTTGTATTTGAATCCTCATGAAAGCTTCTTTGAGAGCTATACAAGTTTGATCTATTATTATTATTATCATCAAAATCACCACTGCAACACAATACAGTTGCAATAGACGGCATAACTGTGACCCTGTGCACAGTATAAAAGACAAAAAGTGGATGATTCAGGGCATAATTAGTATTTTTTTAACTTTTGCACAGGCATTCTTTGTTACCATGCAGAGCGTACCTGGACCTCGGACATGGTGACGGACACGTTGAGAGGCTGCACAGACAGGCGCACACACTGCTCCGCTCGGGTGGTGAACCTCTGGGGCTCCTCGGCTCTCTCACAGCGGTCCTTCCTCGAGCACCTTTCACACACACAAAGGAAAGGTCAGTTATTCAGACCAACACCCACCACACCTCCTGTTCATGGAAACTAAATTCACCGCGCTGCAAACCGCCATTTCCATCTATTTGGAATGATAACTCGGATAACCTCATGTCCAGTCAGGTTACAGCCTCAAAGGAGAAGGTTTGGGACAAATAGAATGCAATTTAGTTCAACTTAAAGGTATATTGAAGGATTTTCACAAATTTAAGATTAAATAAGATAAGATAAACTTTATTGATTTCACAATGGAGAAATGTACACGTCACAAATGGCAGAGATACAGTAGAAGCAAGGGAAGTACCGCCCTCTCCATTTTTTTTAAACAAATCTCTTTTGTGTCATTTGACGAGCACATACCACCAGAATGATTGACACTTGGGAGCAGGGCTGGACTGGGACAAAAAAACGGCCCGGGCATTTTTTCCTTTTTAGCGGCCCAGGCAACTCAAAAGGTTCAAGGAGCCATATTTGACAAAAAAAAAAACAGCGTTGTATAAGGCTTATATGAAGGTAACAGGGTCTGAAGCTGTATTAGCTACATTAGCTACATTAGCTACATTAGCTACATTAGCTATATTAGCTATATTAGCCTAATATCTAAATGACAACGTAAAGGCTACAAACACATGAAAACCATTCATGATTATCAAATGTGTATTTTCATTGCAGCGTGTCCTGGAGAGAATGACGCACCACGTGACAACTCTGCTTTAAGTTTAACTTTTTTTGCCTTCATGCAATTGTACAAATACAGTAAATACATCTGCTTTTTGGCTCCGAGTTCACCTGCATCACTGTCTGTTCATATCGATCACATCACAGGCTGAAGTTTGCTGGAGCTGAATGTCCTTAATGGCCTTTTCTTTCACCGTCTCTGTGGAGGTTTTTGAAGTCTGAAAATAGGTGCTCTGACTTTATGATGAATGAATCTTTCAGTGAACGGTGTTTAGAGCTTCATTGTTCATTATTGTTTTCATTACATCGCAAACATGAAGCAGTCCTTCCTCATTGACTGAAAGCAAAAGTTCATTCTCATTCTTAGTCCAGTCTTATCGACTCTTTCTCTCTGTATCTTTGGGATCCATGCGCACAGTCTATAATGCACACACACCGGTTTGTTTACAGCAGCGGCCGCCTGGCGCGGGCCGCGTCACAGGATATGACGCACTACGTACAGAAATGCTAAAATTTAATATTACTTATACAAGTTTTTGCAGCATTGAAAAACGTTAAGAATGTTTTTCCTCCTACAGAAACCACATTGAAACTAGAAATAAAATATAGCCCTCACACTCCATTTTCAGACATTTTTGGAAAGGCTCCAGGAGCCACTTTAGGGGCACTAAAGGTTGCCGACCCCTGGTTTATACAGTATGTGGAAGCAAATACTGTAGAGGATCAGGATGTCTGCAGTTTCAACAATAAAATAAAGTACAATAGTCTACATTAAACAGAGTAATAAACATGTCTCAGAGTGAGGGAGGTGGGCAAAGACAATACTATTGTTTGTTACAGGGATGAGAATTGGTCAAAAATATCTGAAATGCATATTGTCAGCCATTAGCTGGCTCTAAATCTGTTTAATCTGTTCACAACATTTTACTTTTGGGCTCAAACATGAACTTTTAATGCAATGGAAAATGTAGGTACCCGAGCTTTAATTTAGAGGAGAGGGGAGACGCGGACTGTTTTCTGCAGCGGTGTATTTATTGGGTGCACAAATTACGAAAAGACATGCATGGTCCTGTGCGCGTTTATGGTCTTGGGTCAAGGGCGTAGGTTTGCGTGGGGACCATGGGGACATGTCCCCACCAATATTTGGTGAGGACTAAAAAGTCCCCACCAAAATGACATGATGTCCCGTGACCCGGACGGTCCGGGACACATGTCTTCCGTTTGTGCACACGTCGCGCCTCCTCCTCGCCTCCAGAGCAACAGCAGCAGCAGCAGCACGTGACCCGTTCCGTTCTCTGCAGTGATTGGCTGTCTTCTTCAGCGCCAAACTGAAGCACTGAGCGAGCGACTGTTTAATTTTTAAAAGTTAGCCAGCGTGAAGCAAGTGTTTTTTTTCGTTCCCTGAGCGTTGTAGCATGTGAGTAATCAGAGGAAAGTACTGTAGATCTATTACCATTCAAAGTACTTACGTTATTTCTAATCTGTCAGCGCACTGTTTAATGTTCCGAGGAGCTCACACGGCACAGAGACAGAACAGAACTGCCTCCAATAAAGAAACAGGTTGGTTGAAAGGCTGAAAAAATACTTATTGTGCTCTTACTATCCAAAATGTATAAGTGGGTGTGTTGTGTGAATCAGGATAAACTAGGGATGAAAATATTCCACGGATCCACGATTTACAACCTTTATCTGCTGATAATGTAATTTCTGTGAAATGTGTGACAGCACGTCCTGGTGCAGCTGCTGCCGCTTTGTAATGACAGCCGCGGCGCTCAGTGAAAGCACAGCTCTAACATGGTACCGAGCTTGGACCATATGCAGACAGAACCATGTTGCAAGTGCGGGTCTCCCTCGTATCTCCCCCGTTTCTCCCCTGTGTCTCTGACATGTCTCTCCTGACTCTTCCCAAAGCGCAACCAGCGCTCCCGAAATTAAAGCTCGGATACCTAAATTTTCCATCGCGTTAACGATGCATGCTGGTTGTGCGCAAAACACACCACAACAGGTCATTTAAGTTTTTATTTTGCATACTTAAGAGCCCTGTGAGTCATTACTTGCCTTTTTGGGTTGTGAGTGGAATAAAAAAAAAGAAAATATAGAAAAATCCACACTGTTACTTATTGCCAAACTCTTGTTAACTCATTGTATTGAGAAATACTATGTAACTTTTGACATTGGCCAAGTTATATAAATGATTCTGCAGTTCATGTATATGAATGTCTGTTTTTGATTTTCTATACCTTCTTATATAATTTAGAAAAAATGCCACCTCCACAAAAAAAGATAAAAGATATCAGGAGCTTTTTTAACAGTTGGAAAGTAAGTAAGAGAAATCACAAGTAATAGCAAATTATGAATTGTGATGATTAATCTTCTGTTAACATACATAGGAAACTCAACCAACAAGAGAGAACAATATAGGGAATGTTGAGGTAGAAGCAACAGGCCCTTCAGTGCATCAGGTGAGGTTGGAATTTTGTAGGTATGCATGGGACTATGAATTGTTTTTAGAGATTGATCGTATATGTCAAACAATGTAGTGAGCTACTCACTGTAGATTCTAATTCAATATTTTCTCCTCTGTTTTTATTTATTATAGGAAATTGAAAGATCAGAGCATGATTTATTTCAAGTATCGAGAGCAGTTCCTGAACTGTTAGAGCCTCAGGTGAGGGCTATTATGTAGATTTGGATTAGGTTTAAGTCAGTATAGAATGAACGCAACACAAAACTCAGAAGCTCTGATCCAATTGATTTTGTTTTAACTATTAGAAAAAATCCTTTACTGCTTCTCATTCAGTCTACAGCTGAGTTTAGTATAGAAGGCAACACACTATTGCAAATATAGTGTGTGATTACACAACAAATTCTGGGGGAGAAACTCTGGACCCCGTGTCAATGGGTGTAGACTCAGGTCGTAGTGAATGTCCCCACCAAGATTGGAACCAAACCTACACCATTGTCTTGGGTACATGGTCACGTTGCGGCTACGCGCTCACCGTGTTGTGTTGTGAGCGGCTCCCGGTGAGCGGTTCCTGCGTCCAGCTCAGAGCCGCTGGATGCGGGAACACTGCGGCCGCTGAGGTGGTGGAATCCCGTTCGAGTACATACAGCATGTACCCCGCGGACATGCGCGCCCCCTCAGACATTTCTCAACGGATTTACACTTTTCACAAACATGTTTTTTTGTATGAGGCAGACAGACCGGCCCAAATATGGGCATCGGCCCTTCGGGCATTGCCCGGTACGCCCGATGGCCAGTCCAGCCCTGCTTGGGAGGACCTATAGTTTTAATGATCCACCCAGAAGTTGAAAATCCTTCTATTTTCTTTTAAGCTTTCAGGCTGTTTTTCTTTTTATATAGAAAATCTGGACAAAAAATCTATAGTATTAATATTAATGGGTGAAAAATATAGGGACATACTTTGCCAGGACTAGGTATAGAAAGTGTCCTGGATGAAAGAGCTATAGTAAATATGTATTTAAGAAGTGTTTTTATGCCTTAGTATGTACTATGGAAAGGAAAAAGCTCAACCAAAGACATGAGTTCAGAGTTATCATTTGATATAACTGTATGTGTCGCATAAGTTTAATTTTTCATCAAGATTCAAGATTCAAGAATTGATATGCCATTTGCAGTAAAACCACATTGGAAAAACTGTGCAAGACAACCCCAGTTTGCACCAGACAGAAAATAGGAGCAAAAGCAGAGGAGCCGAGCTTATTTTGCTGTAACTGTGTATGGATACATATTTGAATTATTAAATAAATGAATTAATAAATACATAAACTCATGTTAATTTTTGGCAGTTTTAAGGCATCGTATTATATCTAAATATTTAATTGTAATTGTAATTATGGCTAGATATTAATTATATATTTATATTTATATATCTATAAATGTAATATATCTAAATATATAATAATGTAAATAAATAAATAATAATGTAATATATGTAAATAAATAAATAATAGTGTAATATATTTAAATATTTAATTGTAATTATTTTAATTGTAATTTAATTGTAAATGTTTAATTGTGATATACTGTATATAAATATTTGGGTAGTTAAGGATTTCTGCAAGTACAGAGCGGCTATTTTGTTTTTTTTCCGTAATATTCATAGGTGCAATTTAAATAAATAATAGAAAACAAATCTTGCTTTTTACCGTTCTCAGCTGCTATATCTGCACTTTGTTGTCGTGACATTTAGTAATAAGTAAGTAAGTGTGTTTATACTTTGCACACAAAGCCCGTCACAATTACTGATGGCCATTCTCTTCTCAGTCAAATAAATACACAACGTTTGAGTAAGTAAACAGACAATGTCTTTGTTTCATTGTTTTGAATAAATATAAATTTTTTTCTAATGCTGAAAATATATATAAAAAGTCTAATAGATTATAATTGTATAGCACACCAAGGCACAATACTTATTATCTAAAGACTTTATCGTGCAGAAAAGCTTACGTGGCCAAAATAGTAATTACAAATGCGCACAATAGCTAAAATGGGCTCTTTTTTATTACACCCGTGTTGGATATATGACAACGAACTAGTTTATGGGCAATATATTTAAAAGCAGAGTTTTTAGAGTCTGAAATTTTGCCCTTGTTAGCAGAATTTCTTTATAGAGTATTACTGGTATTTGAGTCTAGGTCTGGCACGGTGCCTGAACAGCTGCTCTCATTAGCATGCATGTATCTTTAATTAGCCTAATGCCTGTAAAATAAAGTAGTCTACAACCCAGCAACAGTAGTGGAGGTGTGGGAGGGACATGGAATCACAAGAGGGACTCCAATGGCCACTAACGAATGTATGCATTTTAATATTGGACGAATGATGGTGAATACGACGGACAGGATTCTACACTGGAACAAATCCCTTAAATACTAAGAAATTAAAATACTGCTTAAAATAAAGAAAAAATTCTGAAAATAAGAAAATAATACTAGCCCCAAATGACTTCTATATAAAAACATACATTTTAAGTATTATTTACTTATTTCTCCAACACTTCTAAGGAATTCACTTATTTTTTAGGACTTATTTTATCTGAACAACAAGAAAAGTTTTCTGGAAAGAAAAAAATACATTAAAAAAGCCTTAAAATCACTGCTCAGACTTTTTTCTCCATTAAGATTATGAAATATTATTATTTTATGTATGCATATATGTGTGTATGTATGTATGTGCATGTATATAATAAGCGGAATTAGAGGATAAAATAAAATATAACATCTTGAATTAATAGGGAAAAAAAGAGAATAATAACAACAGCAATTACACTGAGGAAATTAAACTTGTGTATATTGTATATTTTGAGGCAATCATCAAATTTGGAAGTATTTTGCTTTGTTTTTAGGGGCATGAACAATGAGACTCGGTCTTCAATAAGCTCCTGTTCTGACATGGGAACTGTACAGTTACTACTATTGCGACTGTTTCTTTGATTACCACTTTTTAATTGCCACTCTTATATCCTGCATTTAACATGTTTGCACATTTCTTTCTTGTGCACAACCTTGAGTGATTCTATCCATGCCAGATGTGACATTTACATTTCTCCTGCGTGAGATCAATAAAATCAATCTTATCTTATCTTACAGTTTGATCATTGATAGGATTGTTTGGACATTTTGTTAAACACATGAAAAAATAAACCCATAAACCTGAAAAAACCTTAAAACTAGTTAAATAATCGTACATGGCAAACTAAAGAAAAAAAACAAACTTTAAAATAATAATAATTATTTATGTTATTTTTAGTAAATAAATCTTACCAGGATATTACATTTCTCTGTGTAAACTCAACATTGCATCAGTTCTCTTCTGTATTCTTTTGTCCAAACCTTTTCTTTCATCACATTATTCTCAACTGCATACGATATGTTTCTCTTTATCATTGTAATTTCTCACAACTTCAAAAAGGGACGATCCCAGTGACGTTACAGGCTTTGACTCGTGCCCTTAGCGTCGTGCGCCCTTACTTTCCTTCAGCTTGGATTAAACATGTGAAGCAGTAATAACTTTTGACACTTACACATTATGGAGCACACACCAGCCGCAGTGAGGGTCTCCTGATCCCAGACACTCTCCACAGGAGCTGTACTGCTCACAGCTCTCCACTGGGACCCGCGTCACCTGCAACACACAAACACATGTATACAATCTGATGTTATTCACAGAACTGGACTACACAACTATACTGCCTGTTCACAAATGAGGGTGAAAACTCTTAAAGGCCAATGTTGTCAAATGTGGTACTGTTATATGTGGGGTCCTTTTCTCCCTTGGTTTTGGGTCTTCCTTTTTAGTTAAAGACCTTATGACGGGTTTGATTTATTTAGAAATACAATTTTAATACCATTTTATATTAGAAGAGAACTACTAAAGGTTTCAAAATCAGTTGTTGTTTTTTTTGTCTGATCCCCCCAAATCAAAATAACCCCATAGCAACGCCATTAGAAACGAAAAAACTTCACAGCCCTTGGTGACGTCAGAACGGGTACGTTTCAACGCTGTAAGTTGTTTACAATTTGGTATTCGTTCTTTTTTCGCGGATATTCAAGATGACAAGGCCGTGTACAGCGAGTCTGACATTACTACTAGAATACAACATTTTGTTGTCACTGAGAGAGTCCAGTGGTTGTGTCGATGGACTGCCACTCCAGATACTTGGGTTCAAATCCCACTTCGGGCACTTTTTCACTCTCAAAACGGCAATTTATGTGTAGTGAGCAATTGTCACCTGTAGAGGGCAGTATTGTGTTGGGCATCAGTGGAGAGAAGAGAGAAAAGGCAGTCCTGTGGCATAGATCCATGGTTTTCAATGCATGGGCGTTACCCGCTATGACGTCACACACAGGTTAGAGCATAGACAACTTCAATTCATGAAAAACACGTTCTTTTTATAAAATATAGGCTTTTTTTGCCGGAATCTCTTTCAAATTGACATTGTCATGCAATTTTGATATCCACTATTTTTTTTTTTAAAACCCGTCATAAGGTCTATAAGGTGTTTTTGGGACGGCCCTGTGTATGGATGGTTCTGTGTCGGTTCATTTTGTTTGTTTTGGCTGGCCCACCAGGTCCACCTTTAATTTGAGTACTTTGGGTTGTTGTGTTCCAGACACAGGGATGTTATTGCCTTTTGAGTTGATTCAAAAACTTCAACATTTTAACCAATAAACATATTTTTGTTTTAACTCTCGTCCTGTCTCTGTGTCCTCAAATTAGTACTCAACAACCAAAGCCAGAGGTGCTCAAAAACTCACTTTATCACGACTGTAACATATACTCCCGTTGGAATTGTCAAATTAAATATAAAGTCATCTCTACATTCACCCATTGTCATTATCATAAATCTATTTTTGCACAGTTGTTTATTTTTTTGAAATACACAACCATTGGTTGCCATTTGTGTAATCAATAGAAGAAGAAGTCTCACTGGGGACAGGTCTTTCCATTTTAAGACATGACCCAAATAAATTATTGTTTGCAGATGTGATGATTACATATACAACCCAAAAACCTGAATTAATACAAGATTATAAAAGGATTAGACATTTAATTGACAGTTTGAGCTGTCTTGAATACCAACGTAAAATCTTCAGCCTTGTTTCCCTTTAATCTAAATGGTATCCAAGAGATTCAAATTGTAATTGAAACCATTGACCAATTAATTAACTAAACTACTACATATTGACAGCCCTTTATGTTTTAATGATTCCAAGTCAAGACATTCCTAGAGCAAACACTTGATACAGAAAGTAACATCCATGGAAGTCGGTGGAGTTTACTGTCAAGACATTTGCTGAATCGGTAACCAAATCAAGGTTGTAACCTCAAACTCAAATGCATAAACCGGCTCTCCACATCTGCGTCGCCATCACGCAGACTGTGTTTCTTCCGCACAGCTAGTATCGGAGTGGAGTCGAGCACAGCTGATTAAACCCAGTGTGACTATCATCGGCGTACAGCTCTGGAGGTATTGCATTGGAGTGCTTCAGGGCATGGAGTTCAGCCTCTGACACATGTAAACAAATACACAACACAGATTACTCCTCCCTCACACAACTTGAGCTGTAATCAGAAGAGGGTCCACAATCAGGAGTCGCCGGGAAAATCGCTGAACGGGGAATACAAACCAGGAGTGGACAAATGGGTGATGTTTCATGCTTTTTTAAACTGATTAAAGCATTTTTTCTCCATAGTTTAATATTGCACTAGCCTGGTCTAATTTAAGTTTGTACTAAGGTCTGGATTTTGCTCTGTTAACAGGTGGGAGGGGTTAACTCCTTCTGCAGATTGAAATGTTTAGATCTTAGTATGTAATGCGCCCGAGTGAGTGAGGCATTTAGCATTTAGCCTAGCTTTTAGTATTTAGCCTAGCATTAGCCATCTCCTTTGCCACTAACAGAGCCCGTGGGGAGTAGAGCCACAACGTATTTATCAGCATGACATTTTCTAAACATTGCTTTTGCTCCGGCTTCCATTTCTTGATATTTGGAGCTGAAAGAGAACAGATTTTGTACTTTCTCATTGCCAAACTACAGCCAGCATATTTTGCGTAAACTTTTGACGTCACTGACACCTCCCTACAACACCCGCCTCCCTCGCTTGCTGATTGGTTGGAGGGGATTCAACCAAGGTAACCGCAGCCACTGGGATCAGACCCAGACGTTCATGCAGGAAATAATCACTGACTGAAGTTTACGGATGAATAAGACCAGGCTAATGCCAACTGGAAGAATGTTTGGTCAAATTCTACTTATTGATGGAACTCATTCTCAACGTCTTCAGTCAACATCTTGCCTACACTTCCCATTGTAAGTCCACTTGAAGACATATTTCCATGATTTTGACATTTCAATTTTAATCAGCTCTCCCTCAGATAACATTTCTTATAATTGAAAAGAACCAAGCCAAATTCATCTTTTCAGTTTCCTAATACATCCAGATTGTCTCCAGAACACTGCGGTATACAATAATAGGAGTAACTTATGAGTAAACGTTGGCGTCTCCAACCGCTTCTAATCACATGAAAGGGAAACTTGATTGCTGAGTGGATAGAACTTTCGCTTCTTCAGACAAAGCTGACCATCTTCAGTCGAGAGCTCAAACTGAGGTTAAGATCCAGAGAGCGCTGTCCTCACGTATAAATTGTATTGTAATTCTTTGAAATTTAGTGTTGACAATATTCACCTGTGCTATAACACTTACAACATAAAATTCACAGCAAGAAAATACTGCATTCAAAACCCAGCTGGAACAAGGCCTTTCTGAGTGGAGTTTGCATGTTCTCCCCTACCGCTAAAACCATGCACAATATGTAAAATCCTCCAACTCTTGTAGTCCTCACCAAGCCGAGTATCAACGTCTGGAGATGGGTCCCGGGGGCTGTAATACGGTGACCACTGCTCCTGACTGAGGCCCTAGAGGCTTTGAAGTGTGGGTCAAATGCAGAGGCCAAAGTTACCTACGGGATAAATATGTGCACATTTACATTCTGTCTTTTTACAGTATATAATCCATTGTAACTTTTTCATGTGCGTCTGAACATCTGGCAGCTTTGACTAGTTGTGCATGCAATAACCAACTTCTATCTCATGAAGCAACAAATTCAACTATTGGCATTTACCACATACATCCTTTAATCTCCTGAAATACATAGAGGTCACACACACACACAACAGAGACCGCAGATGAAAGCCATAATCTATGCAAATGAATCTTCGCCTGATCGACTTCCACATTTTTCCTTGATCAAATCACAAAAGCACAGGTTCCTTTTCAAGTCTGTGTCGAATATAAGATTGTATTTACAGCAGCGGGCCAAACATGGCGGATTACTCATCTCGTCTGTGGATCTCCTTCAGCGTTCGCGCCTGCATGCCGGAGATAAAGATGAAACTTTAATGATCTCTGTGGGGAAATCAGAGCTGCCATGTTAACAAGGACATCAAACAAAGACGTCCGGATGTACCTGCCTGTTTCCGCTACACAACCAAAAAAATATGTAGGTGTCGGAGCGACGCCGTGACGGACAAGAAGCAGTGCGACGGTCCGTCCTTCCTTCTGCAAAGTTATCACCGCACAAGTGAATTCTGCTGACTGCTTGTGTATCGCCATCTGTGTGTGTGCTGTAATCCACTGCCAAATACTGTTGCATTTTAGGCAGTCCGGGCAAAAAAAAACATGTTAAAGAGAGGTTGGCGTTTCAGCGCAGTTGGAAATGTGGATGGAAATGGCGTAAAATAAATTGTTTTTCAAAAGTTCATACCTTGTCAATTGTACTGTACTTCAGGCTGCTGTTGTTTAAAGTTAGGGAATCCTCACTTTTTGCATAATTTATACACTTGCATGTTCCAACAGAAGGAGACTTATACAAGCAAGATGTTTGTGAAGAAATCTGACTATAAATTGCTATATTTGTCTTTACATAAGAAAACATGGTATTTTTTATACTGAATACTTTTTGACTCTTTGGGCTGAGAGCAGATTGGCTGAGGAAGAGAATTATTTTTCCAGATCCACAAACATCTGCATAAGAAAACTTGTAATATAACGTTATGAGAGTGAGGAACTAGTTAGACAGATTTTAATGATAATCACTATTTAAATCTGTAGTACCCCAGCTCTAAACTCACTTCGGCTGTTGGTGTGGACCTAGCCTGGTCGTACCACACCATAGTACAAATTACATTTCGTACAAAGGTCTGGAGGCGCTCCATTGAGCTCTGTTTACAGATGGAGGGGTTAACTCCTTTTGCAGATTGAAACGATTGGATCTGAGTTTACTGTGACGCATGTAATGCGCCCAAGTGAGTCGTTAGCATTTAGCCAAACCATCTCCTTTGCCGCTAACGGAGCCCGTGGGGAGTAGCGCCACATATTTTTCTAGCGATTACATTTGCTAAACATTCCTATTGCTCCGGCTTCAATTTCTTGATAGAACCAGACCGGATTACTTTACTAACCCATTTTTCGCCATCGCCAAACTACGACCTTCCCGTTCGACGGAAACTCCTGACGTCGAACACAACTAAATACTCTCCTTCCGCGCTTGCTGATTGGTCGGTCGAAATTCAAGCGATTGTAATCGCTAACCCAGGGACCAGACCCAGACGTTACACGATTCTGTTCTACTATTTACAGGTTCTGTGCCTTGTTACTTCCAAATAACATGTGGCAATTCTGCAAAACCCATTCCCAAAACCATACAGTATTTATAGGTTTTGCAATACCAGGATAAAAAATAAAAAAAATGCTATAAATCCAGTAAAGCCAAATTCCAAATGCCAATTCCAGGAAACTTGAGACATACAATGCAGATTTACAGACATACACAGCATTTGTTTCTTGCATTAGTATAATATGACTCATTTTTGGTGATATCATTCTGCATTTCTACTACAATCAATAGCCCTCAAAGGCCAATAAAGACATCTTCCATCACGAGAAGCAAGGCCATGAAGATAATGTCTATTATACGAAGCAGCCATTACAGAAGCCATGGAAAGCAAGCGGCTCAATACGACATCCTTTCGCTCTGTCAGTCGATCTCGTGGGCCTCTCTGGTATTACAGCATCCCCTTTACTTCATCACTACGTAGGTGCTACACATCATCCGGGCTCTTTAAAGTTGCCTGCCTGGTCTGAGTGAAGTTTTCTGGGTCAGGCCCTCGAATGCATCAGTGGCCAGTGGAGAGTACGCTCCGGCGCACACATCTATAAGCAGCCTGTCCGTGTGGAGAGGACATCAATAACCCAGGGAGAGCAGGGTTAGGCCAGGTGAGCCGAGGTGCTGCTGAGAGAATCCTGATCACGAGTGCAGCCACAAAATCAGCACCTGCCTCTGCACCCTCTCCGCCACCGCGCCATAAATCAGGCTTAATTTTGTCGACGGCAGCTGCATAAGTAAATAAAGAACGGCGGCGAGAAGATTTTGAATAAACCTCGCAGCTTAGGGCGAAGTGAAGAGCTATAGATGGATTAGACGTATCAGTAAAGGATGCCCCGTTTATTGTGCTAATTTACTCAGCGCACTATAAAAACGTTCTCTGCCTAATACTGTACATCCCAGGTTTAGTTACACAATTACCTCGAGTTAAGGCTTTAGTTTTGTAGTGTGCGATTGAAAATGCAAGACAATTGACTCATGAAGTAAAGGACTTTGTGTTAAAGCTATCAATAATAATCATACTTATTCTCTTTTCTCTTGGATATACTTCTGTTTTGTCTTAATACCATATTATCCACCTGTGATACTTACATTTACCAGGTTATTCTATCCTCATGGGCGTACATAACCATTTCAGAATCAACCCACATTACAGAAACTGCGACAAATACTCATAAAAAAAATTCATCTTGGGTTATGATTAGGGTTGGAGAAAATGTACATGTACCCATATAGCTTAATTTTTATTGGTCTTTTGGTCTATTGTTCTCTTCTTACTAAATTGTCTGTTTTGTGTCTTGTTTGTTTGTGTCTGCTTCAACTCAATATTGTCTGTCTGTGTTCTGTTTTGCATTCATTCATGTGAGATTTGTCGTACAAGTTTTTAAAAATGTTCGTGTCTATGTTACTGTACCTTGGAACCTGCCTTGGGACAACAACTGAAATTTCGCACACTTTTGCGCAATCGGAGTGATTCAGTTTTAAGCCACAACTCAATAAATAAACATGAACTAGTCTTGAACAGGTAAAAAATGTGGTGAACCAATCAGGCCACATATAATCTTTGTAGAAAACATGTTATTGTTTGCATGCTTCAGCTTTGTGAGTCAATATTTGTCACTTGGGGCTGAGGGGACTTGGCATTTAACCCCAACATTTTTATAGTCAATTGCCCATACATTTCAACCACTACATCTCTCAACATCGGTAATTTACTCGGTTTTAGCGTTGTTCCTTGCCGATACAGGAGGGTCTGACACAAGGACAGTGGTGATGATCCAGGACCCTCAACAATCTGTCAGGGATAAAGCAGACAGAGACGGATCGTGGTGCGCCAAACTCTGGAAGTTTATTTAAGTTTCTCTCAAGTTCCAGTGGTTTCCTTTGTTTCTTTCTCTCAGACAGAATAAAGGCAGTACACAGTTTATATAGTCATTGTCACGTCACACATGGAAAGACGTACGTGTCACACAGAGACAGTCACATCATAGTCAAAATAATCAGAGTCCTTGTACAGTCCTGCACGTAGGCCATATTGCTATCTAATACTAACACTTCAACAACATTTATAGACATGTATCAACACTTATAGATATTGGTCATTTACCTCTTATGGACCAACACCAATGTGTTTTCTATCATTGCATTTTTTGTGTTAGTGTTGCAAATTTGACGGTTGCGTAAAGTCCTCCAAGGTAACTACTGTTGTGATTTAGGCTCATACAAGAATAAAAAAATCTATCATTAATTTTGTCATTAGGTTAGATTAGATTCAACGCTATTGTCGTTACAAAGTCAGGACAATGCAACAAAATGCAGTTTAGCGTCAAACCAGAAGTGCAAAAGAGCAAGTATAGGATAATATTTACAACACAGATAAATATATGATCACAAATACACAGAAAATGTATATCCTAGTACAGTAATGCTATATCCACCTGTGATACTTACATTTCCCAGGTTAATGTATGCTCATGGGTGTTTAATACCCATTTAAAATCAGCCCAATAGATGTATTTTGAATTAAAATACAAAACCACTCCACAGATTTCATTTACTGCTATAGACGTTGTTTTCTCACTCCTGCGTTGCTTTGATCACACTACTGTGGGTAATTCCAACAGGCACAGGTGTGGTATAATCGCCTGCTACTTGTATTTTACTGGGTACTGTGGGGAATATCGCTAACGTAATCAAGGCATAAAAGAACAAAGTATATAAAGCCATTTGTAACTTTCCCTTTGATTCATCCTAAAACGTGCCGTGTGCAGACATGAGCGATGTGAAGTGGTGTTGTAATCATTCCCTAACACAAGGAGGTAATCGGTGTCAGAGGTGAGAGGGATCAATACGGCCCGCTCGCATAAATGGGACAACTCAGCGTTATGAGAAATCAATGACGTATTAGCAGAGTGTGCACGACAAAAAATGCACAAAATGTCTTTCAAGAGCAATACTCCTCTGTGCACGGTCTCTTTTTATATTATCATGGAATAAAATTGGGAATGGAGCTTTTGTTGATTATGCCCCCAAACTATGGAACCCTCTCCCTTTAGACGTTAGAAACTCCAACTCCCTCAATGTTCTTAAAACAAAACTAAACACATATTTGTATATTTTAGCTTTTAATTAACGTATTACCCACTCTTTGTGTTTTTATTTACTTCTAAATATTTGTTCTGCTGTTGTGCGACTATTCATGATTTGTATGAGATGTCAGCTATTGTTTTGTTGTTTGCATTTTTCTGCTGTGAAGAAATTGTAATTGTATTTGTGTCTGAAAGGTGCGATACAAATAAAGCTAATGTTAGCAAACCGGTTTTTAGCCCAGTGTGAAGCGGCTGGGACGAGAATCAGAACTTTCAAATCTGAGGCCAATTTTGAACATGTTAATTAACAATGTCTGTGGAACGTCTATGGGTTTACCTGACTGTGGAATACCTGTCTATGGAATATCTGTCTATGGAATATCAGTCTATGGAACCCTGTCTGTGGAGAACCTGTCTGTGGAAAACCTGTCTATGAATACCTGTCTATGGAAAACCTGTCTATGGAAAACCTGTCTATGGAATACCCGTCTATGGAATACCTGTCTATGGAATACCCGTCTATGGAATACCCGTCTATGGAATACCTGTCTATGGAATACCTGTCTATGGAATACCCGTCTATGGAAAACCTGTCTATGGAATACCCGTCTATGGAATACCTGTCTATGGAATACCCGTCTATGGAATACCCGTCTATGGAATACCTGTCTATGGAATACCCGTCTATGGAATACCCGTCTATGGAATACCTGTCTATGGAATACCTGTCTATGGAATACCCATCTATGGAAAACCTGTCTACGGAATACCCGTCTATGGAATACCCGTCTATGGAAAACCTGTCTATGAATACCTGTCTATGGAATACCTGTCTATAGATTACCTATTTATCGAATACCTGTCGATAGATTACCTGTCTGTGGAATACCCGTCTATGGAATACCTGTTAACATAATACTAACATTCCAACTAATGTTTCAGTATTTGCATAAAACGTTTATAAAAACACACAAAAAACAAAACAATTAGACCTATTCTCTTGTGTCTCTTCATTCTCCTACCTTCGTGGCCTTGCCTGCCACCATTTCTCTGCACATTCCACATATTCCTCCAAACACGTAACTGCTGTTTGTTTGAGCTTCTTTAACCTCAATCACATTCCTTTCATGACGCTTCAGCCATTCTTGCAAATCAAAATAAATTGTACATCTCAAACTCCCTCCCCCGTCCCCCCACCACCACCACCACCAACCAAACCCGTGTTTTAAAAGCAATCTCTATCTGCCACTCATTTTCAACACTCCATCCACAGGTTTCCCCCCGAAATCATGTTTTACCCCCCCCTCTCACTCGCTCGCTGCTCCCCCCCGATGTCACGCTGATGTACAGTCACACACAAAGCCTTATGGTAGATTCATAGCATGATAATAGTAACTCCAGCTTGATAACTATTATAATGCTACCATTACAAAGCACGGGCCTCTTATGGGACACCAAATAGCGGCAAATTGCTGTCATTACTCGCGCCTGGACAAATACCATAGTAGTAATACCGCATGTGTGAAAGGGGGGGAGAAGAGGGAGGGGGGGGGATATGTCAGAGCCTCGCACAATAGTACCCTGCACAAGTTTATTCAATAGCTTTTGTGATAGCGCGAAGATGATGTATGTCTATAGAGGCCTTCTATTATTGAATGGTAGCGAAACACATAATAGGCCAGGAGATGGAAGATGCGCATGCAGGGACAGCGGCTTTGTCTTATGGAGGTGGTTAGGAACTAAGTGAGAAACAGCTATTAGTAATAAAAATGGCGTTTTCATTCCAGGGCTATTTGCAGCAGGGAAACATATTTATCTAAAAGGAGGAAGTGAATTAGGAGATAGGACAAAAGAGGAGGGGGGAGGGGGGGATCGGCTTTTAGGCATTCATCATAGATTCCCGCTAGAGGTGCAATTTGTTTTGTGCCAACAAATCAACCAACTTAAATGTGTCTATATTCAAAACAATCCTGCAGCTGGGAATATGCATGTATGGCGCTTGAGTATTTTCATATATTTTTTGTGTTGAAAAAGGCAATATTGATGCTTTTTCTTTGTTTTGTTTGTTTGTGGTATTGTAATCTGTAGCACTGTGAGGTTTCCTGGAAACGTAAAGCACAATATTGATTAAAATATTATTCTTATTGGAGGTATTTTTTATATACAATTTGACTGCCAAATACATTATTGCACATTATTACATTCAGCACAGACTATATTTTTAATCTTAACATGTTGCACACTTCTGTCTTTTGCGCAATCTGAGTGATTCTATCCGTGCCAAATGTGACATGTACATTTCTCACAGTGTGAGATCAATAAAGTATATCTTATCTTTAGAGCTGAAACAACTAATCAATTTAATCGATTAAAATCGATTATTAAAATAGTTGTCAACTAATTTAGTCATCGATTAGTTGCTAAATAACTTATTTTGCCGTAAGCGGCTCATTTCGTGCATATTTTAACTCTGCGGTGACCAAATGGTGGCAGTAATGAGCCACCGGAGGTTTTACAGCAGGAGAAGTAGCGAATAGCCAATAGCTGGCCTTCTTTTATGTCACATGCTTCGCGCACAGCTTCTCTTCAGCGGAGGCAAGCGGCAGTGGAGTAAGCTCGAGAAAGAAAAGGAAAAAAGCAGAAGACAAACCTAATCGAACGAAGTCATCCAAAGTGTGGGAGCACTTTACTTTGAACCTTCAAAAAAGAAGAGTAACCTGTCAACTCTGCGCTACTGACTTGGCCTGGCACGGGAGTACTACGTCTCTGCGTGAGCACCTTAAACCATCTCTCTGCAGTACTGACTGTTTGCAAAAGATGGCGCCACACTCACTGTTTTAGGCATAAAGTTGATCTTTCAACTAAGATGTAAAAAAACAAAAAAAAACATTTATCCAGTTTATCAACTTAAATAAGCCTTGTTCGGGATTTTAAACTACTTCAGAAGCCCTAAGGATTTTCATGGTGAAAACATTATTGGAAATCTTCTTGTGAAATTTGCTAGAGTATGTAACGGTCAGTGTTTTGTTTTGATGGTCGACATTGAGTTCAACAAAGGATTACAAAGATATAATAAACAGCTCCAGATATGTTTTTGATGTGGATATGAATATGTAAAATGGTTAAAATCTCTAAAAAGTCTATGTTGAATGATGAAGGCCCTTGGTTAACAATTTACTTGGAAACAAATTGGCTAAACTAAAATATAAGTACATAAACCGATTAATCGATTAGTCGTAAAAATAATCGCCTGATTAATCCATTATCAAAATAATCGTTAGTTGCAGCCCTACTTATCTTATCTAAAATGTACCTGCCATATGCACCAAACACCAACCATTTGAATAGTTGGTGTCTTGCCCAAGGACACCAAAACACAAGTGTGCTTCTAACCTTGGTGACTCTCTGTGTATTTGTGTTCTTTTTTCGTTTTGACCTATATAGAGGTAAAAAGCACTTCCAAATTGGTCATGTATCTTGAGGCGCAACATAGAACTGTGTGTCCATGAACACATCCATTGTTTTGGGCCGATACAAAGAAATCACTTCTGGAACCATATTCTGCTGAGACTTAAATGTTATGTCAATCTATGCTTGCTCTCAAGATAAATATATTGTTCATCAAATTATGCATGACAAAACAAAACAAATGCAACAATTGGTGAAGTCTCTCATCTTTCAAAAGAGAAAATGCAAAAAGGATACTGCGTGGCTTCTCCAACAAGCCTAAGGTATGGATGAGATAAGTTTGAATGAATTCATCTTTTCACATATGGTAGGGTATGGTTTTTATTCTTACAGGGACAGTGTACAATAAGCATTAGCCAAAAAGGAGACATGCATTGTACCAGGTTGTAGCAGCAGTGCTAATTTACATCTGTAGTCCCTGAGCAGGTTGTTGTAAAACAGTAAAATAAAAGTAACAGAAACACACAAACTTCTTGTCACGATCTCTAGTATAACCTAGTATAACAAATTGTACATATAAATAAAAAATTGTATTACTATTGCTGTGGCTGGACAACTTTTCAACAACGGTACCTTAAGTTTAGTTACAGATCTGTGCAGAAGGGACTTGACAAATACTGTAATTTGATTTTTTTCTTGTTATTGGTTTATTATCTGTGATACATAGTGACTTACATACCCTGGATATGTCATATACATACTGTAGTCTTCACAGGACGATCGATGATACACGACCCACAAAATTCAAATGAAAATATGGTAAAAAACTTATGATAACCTTGGAACAAACCTTTACTGAATTACATATACCTACTCATCTCAGTCTGCTCATTTCTAATCTACACATGTGAGCATATATTGAGATAATTGAAGTACCAACACTACAATTTCCCACTTTATCCCACTCCCATTGCTCCTGGAATTAGCCGTCTCATCGCCGTGGAGTGGCTCGGACGCGAAAGTGAACGTAAAGGGGAAACTGCAAACAAATAACTAGAGACGAATGAGCCGAACTCATTTGGGTCGTGATGGAGGGCCTCTTAATTTGGTGAGTTGCAGATGAGAGTGAGTGGTTGGAGGGGGTCAAGAGCAGGATGGATGTGGAAGACGCTGGGTTTAATTGTGGCCGATGTGTCATTCGGCATATGTGGAGCGAGCGTAGCCTCCACAACGGGCCCAGCTGTAATTGCCCCATTCGTATCATACGGGCTGCGATATAGGTGCTATCAGAACACAATGGGCTGATGGATAACTTACTCGTCCGCGCTAACGTCCGGAGATTACGGCTGCCTCAATCATACAGCTGCCTCGATCACACAGCATGACATGGCCTTTTTTGTATAGAGGTTAATAATTGGTGCTTGGTTGGACATTGGATTGAGAGAGTTGCGTCCTGTATGGTTTTGGACCTGGTAGATAGACATGTTATTGATCGCTGTAGGATAAATTCAGGTGTCCAGTAGCAGCAGAAATGCATCCAAAAAAAACAAATAGATAATTCTAAAAACTGCTAACAATAGTATTAAAATGCAACCGCAGCAGAGGTGGAGCAGCCCCTTGGTTCGGACCATTTTCTCTGCTCTGAGATGCTAAATGCTTTGTTAGCATTTTTCAAAATGTTAGCATTCCTCCAGTGGATTTCTGCCTGATCCGCTTGGTTCAGACCCTGATTCCTCTCTGTTCCGGCCTGGACCAGTGCAAAACCAGGGAACATTCTACTGCAGCAACATTTACAGGTAGAAAACAGTAAAACACAAAATAAAAACAGTTTTTTCAGAGCTACTTGCTGCCATTTCCAGCGCATTCTAAAGTTATCAGAAATATGACACTTGTGAGCAAAATCAAATCAACCCAGCAAAAATAATGGCTTTAACAAAATGGAAAAAAATAATAATAATAATCCAGAAAAAAAAAAAAAAGTAATCAAACAAGGATTAATGACAGGAACTAAAACAGACAAGGAGTAACAATTACGGAACAGGGAGTGAAGGAACACACAGGACGTAGATACAAGACTAACGAGGCACAGGTGATGCTAATGAGGGCGGGGCAAGTAATCAGGAAACAGGAAGTACAACGAAAGAATACACAAGGGTTAACAATTTACAAAATAATACAGGAAATCGATCTAAACCATGACAAAATGTGCATAATGTGTAATCCTTAAATAAATGGCATATTGTTTAAAAGGGGATAAAGTAAAATTGTTTGAAAAAGCTTCTGAAAATATGGTCCCTCATGATTCACCTAAAGTCTCGTTCTGATAATTGCATGATAGAATTTTCCATTTCCTGAAATCAAGGTGAAAAGCTGTTTCGCCTACCACCTTTCCTCACCAGCCCATTTTTGTGATAATTGTGATTATTCAGTA